GGATTGAACTAAGTGCATCTTGAAGAATGTCTAAAATATTCCTTAAATTATCTTTATTGGGGTCGGGGGGGTGATTGTGTTTTTCTTTATTTACTTACTTTTTTTTTTAGAGGAGGTACCGGGGGATTGAACCCAGGCCCTTGTGTATGCTAAGCATGTGCTCTACCACTGAGCTACAGCCTCCTCGCAAATTGTCTTTAAATAAACTTTTTCTTGGGCTTTCGATATGAGCAAACAAATTCCAGCTGTCTTAATGATTAAATGCCCGAAAACCAAACTAAAACTTTCAATAGAAAACAGAGATGAATAGACGTCCACCTCTGGCCGTATTATAATCATTGTTAGTGGACTGATGCTGCTGTCCTAACAACCATAACACTGTACAAAATACGTGCAGCAGCAGTTTCCAGGAACTGGGTTCCCCTTGTGTGTCCGCCCGGAGGAACTCCCCACGCGCGGTGCAGGAGGCGCCGCTCCGACGCTGGTGACAGGGCTGAGCTGCAGCGGCACAGGAGGCGTCGGGCTGCGGGGACGGCTGGAGTTTGCAGGGCGGTCACAGGAGCGGGGTGCACGTGCAAAGCCAGGGACCTGGACAGGAGGTTGTATAGCACTGCCATTTACAGTAGTAACAACCCCGGGAGCAAGCTACGTCCCCATCAGGAGAGCGGATTCGCTGCGGTGTTACCGCACAGCGGAATGTTACGAGGCAGCGAACGTGAGTCAGCTCGTGAACAGGTCAATAAGGTCGTGCTGGGTGGCAGAGGCAATTGCCAATAGACTTCTTTCCGCAAATATTTTATGTAAAATCGAAAGCAACTAGAACAGTAAGTCACGCATGTATATGTGATTAAATCGATGTGAATAATATGCGATTCAATAAGAGGTTAACTTACGGTTACTAGAGGGGAGAGGACAGAGGAGGGGGCAAATTAGGGGGGATGGAATTAACAGAGACAAACTACTATACATAAAGTAAACAACAAGGATTTACTGTATAACACAGGGAATTATATCAGTATCTTACAATAATCTATAATGGAATCTAGTCAGCAAAAAAAAAAAACCCTGAATCACTGTGGAGGAGCATATAGCTCTATGGTAGAGCGTGTGCTTCACATGCATGAAATCCTGGGTTCAATCCCCAGTATCTCTATTAAATAAATTAATAAGCCTAATTACCTACCCCCGCAAAATTTAAAAAAAAAAAGAATCACTTCTGCACAAATGAAACTAACAGAATATTGTTTATCAACTCTACTTAAATTTTTAAAAAAAGTTAAATAACTTGTCCAAGTTCCCAAATTTAGTATTGGAGTCAAGGACATAAACAATTCCAGGACTCGACATCCCCCGAGCCCCGTGGGAACAATTTCTGTTGTATTTTCCATGGAACTAGTTTTCCTCTCCACCCAGACTGTCAAGGATCTCAGGAGTGAATCTGGTCCTCTCAGTGTAGCAACTATATTAACACTTACTGGTGTGCATACTTTTAGTTAATATTTATTATTCACTATTTCTTGCCACCAGGACGTGTCTTAAGTGTATTGCTTCGTTTAATGCTCACAAAGAAAAATCTGATTTTCCACCTGAGGAAACTCAAAGGTTACACACCGGGTCTGCTGTTACCAAACCAGTAGGAAACAGAGAGCCCTGTTCAGACTGACGTAATTCCCATGTGTAAGCTCACCGGCTCACTCCTAATTTCTCTCCTAACTTGGATTTTTCCCTTTTTTATGTTTGCACTTTCATTTGTTCTTTGTGTAAGCCATCTCAGCTTCATTGGGAAAATGTAGAGAATCAAAGAATAACACATGAATGTGAGTGAATTACAGTCTTACTTTCTCTCACCTTCTGCCTGAGGTCGCGGTCCTCCTTGACCGCTGCATCTTCCTGAAGAAAGGAGACCGCGCCACCTGGTGCAAAGGTCAGTTCCAGTTCTGAAATTGGACGCTACGTATTGCTTACAA